AAAAAAAAAAAAAAAAAAAAAAAAAAAAAAAAAAAAAAAAAAAAAAAAAAAAAAAAAAAAAACTAGATTATTTCAAATGTTTTCAGTAGAGCTTTTAAGTCATTAGGTTAGGTGTACTCTTGTTGTCCACTTCTTGCTTTATGTATAAAATGACCTATTTCATGACCACTTAAATTTTTCTAATACTATTTACCCCCAAGAAAATAGAAATGTGAATTGTCTCTCTCTCTCTCTCGAACAAGAGCTTATAGTTTGATGCTTACAAATGATATTATAATTTCAAAAGTTCTGCATTTCAGTTTTCTATGAAGTTGCTAATTTATTTTTAACCATGTGGCAGTTCTATTGTTTGTGGTACAGATGCTAGTGACATGTACGTGTAGTAGTGATTCTTAGATGTATATGCTTGCCAATCTTGTAACTTATTTGTTAACTAGTATGTTCATTTCATCCAATACTCTTACAATGACATTAATTTGTCTTTTCTTTTGTTGGGGATTATGTTTCTTTTCTTCAGATAAACAAATATGCGTTCTCTGGTGGGCAAGATTCCATAGAAAAGCACAGATTATATGGTGCTAATCTCGAGGTACAAACTTTTTTCGTTGTATCATAAAGTTACATTTTTCATGCTATATTAGATTTTACTCATGATATATGACTTAAAGTAATAAATAAGGAACTAGACCAGTTTGATTGTGTATTTTGTTTTCTGTTTATTTGAAGCTTAATATACTAGTTCGTAATAAAGAAGCATTTTTTATATCAAGACCCAGATACAACGTGGCATAGGCTTACTCAAACACATGTTATTATCTGTTTTCAAGTATATTTGTATGCTGCCCTGTATATTTTTAAATCGTAAGGTTATTCCCAGAAGTATGGTATTGAAGGGTAGGAATTCTAGTATTTGTAGTAGTAAGGATGAGAGATCTTTCAATTCTGAGCAGGACTGAAAAGTTTGGAAGGGAGATTCTTTAGGTTCTCCAGTAATTCCGAATTTCTTTGCTTGATAGGTCCAGTGGAAGTCTAAAGAAAGCTGATGTTTTTCTTTGCTTTTCATTGTGGAATTAGCACTAATTACAGGATTAAACAGATTAGTACTAATATTCTCCTTCTAACCTAATTGATGTGCCCTTTGCAAGAGTTCTTCCAAAACTATAAATAACATATTCATTGGCTCTGCTCTCATGACTTCTTGTTGGTGAAATCTTTTTATACCTTTTGGTTTGGAGTTAGCTTTGTACTCCCTAACTCAGCACAAGGTTTGGTGTCTCTTCGACGCCATCCTCAGGATGGAAACCAAAGTTCTTCTGTCTCTTTCTTTTTTACCTCCTTGAAATTTACGTATATATTTAACTTTTTTCCCTATTGAATTCTTAGTTTCTTATCATAAAAGTACTTGAAAGAAGGTTCAATGTTGTTCAAGGTTCAAATTTCATTATCGTTATTGTTTTTGTTTGTCCGTGCTATGCATTGATACATTCACGTTTTGTCCCCCTGCTTCCAAGACTGTAGTCAACATTCCAGTAGGGTGTCTGAGAAGCAAATAGGAACTTGAAAATAAAGATCATGCAAAATTCTAATGTGATTTTTGTTAATTCTACCATAAACTATTCAGGTGGATATACCCATCAAATATTTGAACTTTTTCCTGGAAGACGATGCTGAACTTGAACATATAACAAAGGTGAGACTGCTGGTTCTATGATGGAGTTGATATTTTAACGATTCCTTTTTCCCATCTCTACAATGTTTTGGCCAACTAGGGTAAAATAAAATAATTTTTATTTCGTTCTTTCTCGCTTCAGGAGTATGGTGCTGGACGCATGCTAACAGGTGAAGTGAAACAGCGCCTTATACAAGTATTAACTGAAATTGTAGAAAGACATCGTAGAGCTCGGGCTGCTGTGACAGATGAGGTAAGTTTGTTGCATTCTATGTGAGGCATCCTCAAGTAGCTCGTCTACGTCCATATCATAGCAATTCATCCTTAATCTTGACTGATACTATCGTTATTACATTTTTAATCTTTGGGATGGCTATAATAATTGTTGATAACATTATGCTTATATATGAAGAAAAATCTTTATTTTTTTCAACCAGAAACAACTTCTCATTCTGTGATAAGTTCAAGGGATACAAGCTTTCAAAGGGAGTGAAAGAGAAAAATTAAAAACGACAAATACACCCATTTAGAGAACAACCATGAACAAAAACTTTTCATAGACCAAACAAAACACACCCCTACCGAAAATGACTCTATCATTGACTTTTGCTACCATTTTGAGAAACTTGAGAAAACTGGGGAGGGTATTTCAAAACTGTTGATATAGCTTTTACTTTGAACTTCTTAGAAATTGTGGAGTTAGCATCATTGACCTCTTGTTTTTATTGGAGAAGAATATCTAACTTCTTTTGAAGATATTACATTCTGCAAAGAACCATTTCATAACGAATTAATTCCTGCTGTCCATCAAGTTATGCGATCCAAACAGAAAGTTTATCCTATAAACAGAATTTGGCCCCAAAAAGAAGCTTTAATAAGCAAGGTACAGAGGAATGCATAAGTGCATAAGCAAGGTACGAAAGATTGCACTAGAAGACTAAATGAGGAGAAAATACACAACCCTTAAAAGAATAAGTCGATGAAAGAATGATCATTAAACTTTGAGGGAAAAATAGTATTGCAATAATAAGATGATGACATGTGTAAGAAAACATTGTTTTTGTTCCAGATTGTAGGGGAAAGTGATTAACGCTTAAGAATTAATAAAAATAAATAAAAAGAATTAGGAAGTAAGATGCTGAGGCGCACGCCACTAGTGCTGAGGCTTGTGCCTCAAGGGTGCACGCCACAAGTGCCGAGGCTTGTGCCTCAAGGGTGCACACCACAAGTGCTGAGGCGTGTCCTCAAGCGCGCTTCAGGTGCAGGGGCTGTGTCCTCAAGTACTTGGATAATTATATAATAGACAAGCAATATAAAGAAACCAACAAAATCAGCATTCCAAAGCTAAAGCATGAGTTTAAGCATAAATATAACCAGCTTATGCTCTTGAGATTTGAACTACAAAAGAGGCGAGACAGAAAGGATTTGCTGTCCTCTGTTTCCTATCAAGAATATTCTTAAGCATTGAATTGTTAGACGGCCTCAGTTGAATGCATGAAAAATTAGAACTACAAGATTTGGCTGCTATGGCCTTTACTTATTGTTGTGTTTCTTGTTCAGATGGTTGATGCGTTTATGGCAGTCAGACCCCTTCCTAACATGTTCGACTGAAGAAGTCATTCTTTGAACCACTATTTATCATTGAATTCAGGGGCCTACATTGGATACAACCAATGGGGCAGGGCGGGGCGGGGGCTCGTGCCATGACTCTCTACTCAGATTATTTATCAGTCAATCCCCCAAATGTATCTGAACTTAAAAAAACCAAGAAAACTATGTTTTGTAGAACGCTGTTAGGTTAGAGATTTTCAAGTCCAAAGCTTGATGAGTGAAGATGGTCAAATTGAGATGACTTGTAGTAGGTGATATTTGTAGGTCTTTGTTTTGTTTTGTCTTGTTTTTTCTTTTTTAAAATTAAAATTTTGACTATTCCTACGGTTTTTATTCAAACAAGAAACTACCTACTCTGGTATTCAAATTTTGTCTTATTTTCTCACTTCATTTATTTTATGTTAAGTTTTAATAATTGTATTAAAAAAAGTCGTAAATAGGTCGTTAAAATTTACATATCTTTTGTTTTCGATCTTCAATGATGAACCCTCTTTGTTCATTTATATAGAAGGTTGTTTTCAAAGTCGAGCCTCCCTCGATGTCTTTTGTTATTTGTACGATATAGTCATTTCTATCCCTTTTGCTTTGAAGGTCTATAATTTTTTATTTAAAATTTAAATTTTAGGGATTATTATGTGAAAAAAAAAAAAAAAAAAAAAAAAAAAAAAAAAAAAAAAAAAAAAAAAAAAAAAAAAAAAAAAAAAAAAAAAA